TGAAGCAGTAAAGCAGTTGGCTCCATTCCCTTGGAGGCTCAGCGTGTAATTCATGTGATGCCCTTACCATCAGATTAAGCCTAATATTTCAAGTTCGTTCTAATTCCCATACTGCCACCAATCTCTCTGTACATTTAAATGTAGCACTTCATTAGTTTATCTGAATAGATTAAACTGATGAGTATCTCTCCCAAGTTCATTTGTCATAAAATCTTCGTAATTTTAATTACTTGGGCAGTTGCTAATCTAATATAACTCCACTTTCCCTGTCTACAATGAATTTCAGTGACCTGCGACCCTCTTTATCTTACACAAAGATGCTATTTCATTTTGTTAACCCAAGACTAGGAAGAAAAATACAACTCTTTTACAAACATACATACTTATTTAAGAACAGTCATTTAAATGGGGGAAAAAAATCTCTCAAGTAACATTATCCTAGATCTAAAATAAGACACTTCCAAAACATTTCTCAGTAGTTACCATTGCCAGATCATCCAGCTTTTCAGTTTTTGGGCTCTGCATTTCCAGCTGTGGCCCAGATAGACAACTAACTATTTGAACACATGCATTGAGGCTGCATGCTTAAAATGCAGTTGTATTTCTCTGTGTAATTATTAGTCCATCATTTCTAAAAAGATAGGTGACTATATACTTGACACGTGAGATTTTGCAGATGAGACACCTCTTAAATGCAGATGCATAAACTTTATCTTTCAATTTTCTCTTTATCCATTTTGCAAATATATTAGCCCAGTGCCCTTATGAAGCACAAGTTGACATCAATCTATTTTATTAGGTCAGCTGTTTCTCAGCAGCAGTGCTAGCACAAAACAGTGACTGGTTTGTTAGCCACCACTTGCTCCCTCTGCTGGTTCTGCTACACCCCAGAAAAAAAATAATTCCAGAGGGCTGAAACATTTCAAAAGTTCTAAGAAACCATTTCAAACCAGCATGCACTTTCAAAATTGTCTTCTAAATTTGTACACAAAAATGACTAAGTGCCCAAGCCCTGCGACTGCATATACAGCTGAGGGAGGTGTTTAGTTACTGCAATTTGTGCTGTGAAAATTATAGACAAATTAGAAGCCCTTTTGAAAATTAGGTCTTGTTGATCTTACATAACCAGAGACTCATTTGATTTAAAAAAAAAAATTCAAGACAGTTTTGTAAACTTTTAGACAACACATTGTATTCCAAACCCAAATCCGATTATGCTAACTGAACTTAGTAGATGCACCATTATTTCCTCATATAATTTTTTACTTACCTTGAAGCTGGTAATTGAGGTTTTTTTATTTGCATTTGCAAGTGTTTGATTAACCCATTTAATAATAACTTCATCATTTACTTTTTCCCCTTCTCCAAGGTCTGATAGTACTTTCAAAGTATACCTGTAACAGGAAAAGTCATTTACAAATGATTTATAGAATTCTTCTCTGTTCCAAAGTTTTCATCTTGACATTTAATTTTTGCTATATTAATTATTTTGGTACTCGATTTTTCTACTTCTATATTATTACTGTCACAAGAATAAAATAACATTCCAGATTCTAATTTTCACTGTCACATTTTCTTTCTATATTTATTTTCCTTATCCATCATTAGTTTCACAAAATGAAGTGAAAGGGTTCATCACTCTGGAATCAAGTGACTTCCCAAAAGTAAGTTAAAAAGTAGTTTTAGGTAATCTTCATCCCAGAATACAAAGCAGAATATTGTGGATTTTCCTGCTTTTCCTTTTAGTTGGACCATGTTTTAACAAATATAGATCTCAATTCTGCAATAGGAACCTCTACTTTCAATCACTGCGTCATACTAAATACCACAGAGGGGGAACAATGAAACTCATATTCTCTTTTATGCCATTATTTTTTTCCAAGAAAAAACAAACAAACAAAGTGTGTGTGTGTGTGGGGGGGGGGGG